ATTCTCCAGTTAATGCCAATCAGCCTGGTTTGGAGGAAACCAATCTTGCTGCATAAACTTGTTTTGTTCTTGTCAGTCTTTGATGTGACTACAGGTTTGTTTGGGAAAGGTGATGGCTTAGATCTATCCAGGCTTCTGGAAGTGTTAATTTCCCAAAGCATGCTGATAAGAAAAAAAAGCTGTTATGCAACATTAACAGAGCAGGAGGTTAAGTGAGCTGGTTAACTCCATTTAACGCCCTGTAAACACAAAGGAGGTCATCCCTGGAAGCCCACCATTGAGTGGCAGTGTTTCTTATGTGGATGCCCAGGAATGAGTCCTGGGTCAGGTATGACTCACCATTTTATTCAGTGCTTGGTGAGCAGATATAGTTCATGCTGACACAATTTACTGAGGGCACAAATATTGTTAGAGTGTTAAAAATAATGAGGATAGGACCAGGACAGAATGACCTGCCCCTTTCAGTAAGGTGGTCATTCTCATAAAACTTCTTGTAAGGCTGTTGAGAGCAAATTGTACAGCCACGAACAGGAAAAAAAGTGTCCGTGTCTACAGGGAACAACTTCCAGTCCTGAAAAGAGGTGCTCTGAAAAAGATGTGGGGACTGTAACAGGCAGAAAACTGAACACAGAATCAGTGGTCCAGGCTGCAGCAATGAGTCTGAAGTGATTCCTGTCTGTGTAAGGACAGAAGTAAGGATGGCAAGTGAGGAGATGATTAAACTTCTCTCTGTGTCTGAGTAAGTCTCATGTTGGAAAACTGTACAGTGCTTTATGCTCCATATTTTAAAAATAACTTTGAATCAAAGGTGATCTGAAGGCTGGAGATCTCAGTAATTTAAAGAGGTCAACCTGTTTAATATATCAAAAAGCAGAATGAGACATGACTTGCTTGCAGTATCACTCCTTTCCTGGAGAAAATTCTACCAAATATTCCGGCAGAGAATAACAAGAGCCAGTCACTGGAGAGTGATTAATCACAGAAACAAACTACCTAGTGAAGTGCAAGATCCTCTTTCTTCTGGAGTCTTTGAATCACAACCCGAGGCCTGTCTGGAAGACAGCTCTTGGTCTGCAGAATCCTGAGGGCTGTGAGAGCAGATCAGAGGAAGAATTATCATGCAGTTACCCTCAAGCAGCTGATACTAGGCTGATTTTTAAGTGTACTCCCTGTGTGCATTAGCCCAGTACAAACTAAAGGGTTAAAAGGCTTCTGTATCATGTTGGTATCCAAGAGAGTCCTGCCAGCCTCCCTTGTCCTTACAGTTTGTCTCAGAGTCCGTGTTACACACAGTTGTGAAAAATCGTCTCATGAGATGTGACTCTGCTATGTTTGGAGAGGGACTGGTGAAAAAAATGTCTTCAGCGTTTTGACAAGTTATTTGAATTTTGTGGTGGTGAAGAAAGGAACAACCTAGAATGAGCCCATACAGCTCTACAGCTTTAAAGTGGGACAGTGAGCACAGAGGAAAGAAAGTGGATCTATAGCACAAAGAGAATGGAGATTTCTTTCTGTAAAGATCAGAGCGAGATCAGAAGAGAGGGATGATGCCAGGGGGTGGTTACAGCTAGGATCAGAAATCCCAAACATTCGGAAATAACAACACAGAACGTCTCCGTGTCACAAGATTTATCTTAAAATTATGAAATGTTGTACAGACTTGCTTTCATCTGCACTCTTCGCCTCCTACTTTCGGCTCTTTTGGTTACATGAAAATCACATTTCACAGTTTCCCTGGGACCATAAAGATAGGTGTCTGCTTTGTGAGGAAAGCAAAAGCACAGAAGTTACTGGCTCCAGGAGGCTGGGATTTAATTTCAACACCCAGCATTCCAATCTAGGGATGAGGCCAAAGTTTTGCTAGGTTGTGGAGATGTTACCCATGACTTTTGCACTCGTCCTTCTCATTTGGGCAGCGCAGGATCTGAGTCATTCAAAGCACCTTCTGGTCTTTGCCGTTGATGCAGGATAAAAAAGGAGCAGACAAAAACATGGGGAGCCAGCACACAGCACATAGGAACCGGGGCCAAAGTGGAGAAGGAGACAGAGAGAGCATCAATGTAGCTAGGATGCTCAGGCTGCCAGGCTTTATCTAACTAATAATGAAAGGCAGCAAGCGTGTCAGAGAGTGTGAGAGAAACAGATCGATAGAGAGATAAAACTGAGATGGAAGGAGCCGGCAAGGGGGTGGGGAAGAGAGTAATAAAACACTACAAATCAGCAGGGTTACGTTTGAACCTGATTTGAATGCACCCTGCACTGGTGTAAGTGAAGATAGGAGGTGTGAGGCTATGGTGAATCAGGCCTAAATACATAAACAGGGAGGGAAAAGCAGGGAGGAGATGGTGCCCTTGTCAATATTGCCCTGTAACCTGCCTTCACAGTTCTCAAGCAACTTTACCTGCCCTGCCTCTCCTTTCATCTTGCTGTTTGGAGACGCTTAAATATTGCTGGCTCAGAGAATACAGACTGATAGACTTTCCTGCTTCCCTGAAGAAATGCCTGTTGTGTAAAATGTGTCTTGCTCCCATTTTACCTGACTTGAGCATAGGAAACACTCCTTACTATTTTGTTTATTGAGGACCCAGGGTAGCTTCCAACAATGCCCTGAGCCAATGGATGTGAGGCATTTTCCTAGGAGAGCTCATTGACTGTGCCCATGCTCAGTTACCAGTGGAAGATGATCGGAGAAGTTTCTCTGCTCAGCTTCAGATTTTTGAGGCAAAGGAGACTGCGACATCTCAAAGCTAAAATGGTCAGAGCACATAAATGAAAATGTGCCCTACAAGAGGAGGACTGAGGGTTTGGGTGCCTTCCCCTCTCAGGGCACATGTTTACTTCTCTGGCCCAGCACTCAGACCTGATTTGCTCCTTATGCCTGGAATTAGTTTTAAGTGATGTCCACCTAATCTTCATGGCATGATCATTAATGTTAGAAGTTCAGTTTTTCACACTGACCATTGCTGTCCACACTGTTCTCTCCTTCTGTCAGTAGCCTCAGTGAGGAGACCAAACACTGAAGAGAATGATCCTGAGGAGGAGTAATGACAATCCATACAGCTGTACAAATAAGCTTGGGAGACAATGATCCAACCCCCCAAGGCAACCACGGGTTATGTTTTCTAGCTCTGAAATTGTGTTTGGAGCAGGATTGTACCCCAAAAGAGCCTTCTCCATGACTCAGCCACAGCAGCTGTGACAAGAACTAGAGTCAAAGCAAGAAAAGAGAGTTGTTGATACTGGCAAGTAAAACCTTAACAAACATAGACTTCACCCAGATGAAGATTTCAAGATGTTACACTTATTTCAAGATGCTGCACTTACAGAAGTCTGGCAAAGCACAAGTCAACTGCCTTTAATATGTGCTAAACTGATCCAGCTGAAGACCAAATCTCTTGCTGGCAATCACGTACTGGAGTGCAAACTTGCCCTGATGGCGCTACGATTTTAACATCCTAGAACCACGCTACCTGCATAGAATGTATCAGCCTCCCAACAATTTGTTGCCTATTTTTCTTTCATGGAGAATCATTGTGGGTTTCTGAAGGAGCCAGACAGGAGGAAAATCGTGATGCACTGGAAACTCTTGGCCAAACAGCTTAATATTTCTTATTGAAATGCACACTGACTGCACTCCTCCCAGTCCCCCTCTCAACTCACCTCTGCCTACCATGTGATTTATACAAGATGAGAAGAGCTCTGAAGGTGTGGGTGTTTTTTTTCCCCAAATGACCCCCACTTTTTATTCCCTCTCACCCGGCACAGGGAACCGTGCCCTCAACAATGACCGCATTGCTGTAACTCACACACCCACAAAGAGATACTTAAGGTGCACTATAAACATTTCTATCCTTGTGGAGCATTTAAACTATCTTTTTATGGCCATACCCTGCCTGCATCAGGGATGCATTTCTTGACAAGTGCAATGGTTAATGATTCAGCAGATAGTAAAGCCATTTTTTGGTAAAAATTAATGCAGTAGAGGAGGGGAGGCATGCAGGGATTTGAGAAACGCACAGCTTAAATACATAAGTACATTGCTTTGCAACATAAGATTTTTTACATTTACATATCCCCAAAACACTGCCCAAAATAGTGAGATCTTAATGGTGTGAAAGCAAAAATGAGAGCGATGTGTGTGGGCACACACAAGGTATTCCATGCACCTCGTTCAATTCTGGTGTGGTGCTGATAGAATAGATCACTGAGACGTGAAAAACACCATGCCATATAGTAGTGCATCTGTTTTCCCACCAGTTATTTCAACATTCATCATAGAATCACAGAATGGTTTGGGTTGGAAAGGACCTTAAAAATCATTCTGTTCCAACTCCCCTGCTGGAGGCAGGGAGGTGTGCTATTAGACCACGCTGCTCAGAGCACCATCAATCCTGGCTGTGAACGTTTCCAGGTGCAGGGATGAAGAGTAGATATTCACCAGACTGGCAAGACTCAAAACCTCACGATGGCCGAGCAGCTTGGGGGAGTTTTGACAGAGGATGGATCATAAAAATAAGAGAACAGTGAGCTGGTGAGCAGGGCAAGGGCATGAAAAAAGCGCAGAATGGAGTTGAGGGCTGGTTGGTGCCGAGGCTGGGGACCAGCAGGTGGCCGCAGACCGCAGCCTGTGCGGGCCCGGGGACATGAACGCTGCCGTGGCAGGATGACGAGGGCGGCCGTGGGTGTCCGGGAACGGCCCGGGATGGCCGGGAATGGCCCGGGATGGCCGGGAATGGCCCGGGATGGCCGGGAATGGCCCGGGGTGTCCGGGAATGGCCCGGGATGGCCGGGAATGGCCCGGGATGTCCGGAGGATGCGGCGGACGGACGAAACGGCGGCGGGACGGACGGGGCGCAGCGCTCAGCCCCGCCAGCGGGGGGCGCCCTGGCGGCGGGACTGCGCCGCCGCGCGGCTCCCGGCCTGGCCAATGGGAAAGCGGCGGGGGCGGGACAAGCGGCCGGCTCCGCCAATGGGCGGCGGGTGCGCGTCAGACGCGGAAGCGGGCGGTGCGCGGGGCCGGCCGGGAGCGGCCGGGCCGGGGCTGCGGGGACGAGCGAGCGGCCGCGCCGGGCCGGGCCGGGCCGGGCCGGGCCATGGCGGCCGAGGGGAAGGTGACGGGGCAGAGCCAGGAGCAGTTCCTGCTGCTGGCCAAGGCGGCCCGCGGCGCCGCGCTCGCCAGCCTGATCCACCAGGTGTTGGAGGCCCCGGGCATCTACGTGTTCGGGGAGCTGCTGGACATGCCCGCCGTCCGCGAGGTGAGGCGCGCCCGGCCCCGCGGCCCCGCCCGGCCCTGCCCGCGGCCCGGCGGCGCCGCCTGACCCTGTGTCCCCGCAGCTGGCCGACAGCGAGTTCTCCCCCGTGTTCCGCCTCCTCACCATCTTCGCCTACGGCACCTACGCGGACTACCTGGGTGAGGCGGCGCGGGCATCCCGGCCCGGTGCTGGGGATCCCGCGGGGGGAACGCGGGGCGCAGAGGGCCTCCCTCCCTCCTTCCCTCTCTCCTTCCCTCCCCGGCAGCCAGGCCCGACGCTCTGTGCTTTGGGCCCCAGAGCAGAGGTGCGCCTGGCGGAGATCAACGCTGCCATTTGCCACCTGCCAAAGAGCATCCCGGCAAAGACGTTTCTGAGGGGCCGGGGCAGAGACTTGGATATCCATTGGGATGTGCAGGCCCGCGTAAATAACGCATGGGCAGCTAGAAAGGCTGAGTTGAGGGTGGCAGAAAGAAAGGCTGCTCAGAAAAGGTCTTTTGAGCTGAGAATTGATGGGGATGGCTTGGCAAGACGAAGCACCACTTGGGGGATTGGTGTGCAGACGTTTTAAGAGATGGGTGTGATACAGATGCTTCTGTGCAGAACTGAGAAACGAGGCATAAATTCCAATATCCCATTCTTTCCCCTAACAACAGCTGAAGCAGCAAACCTCCCTCCCTTGACAGAGGCCCAGAAGAACAAACTTAGGCACCTGTCAGTCGTCACTCTGGCTGCCAAAATCAAGGTAGTGGCCCTGTTTTTCCTGAGTTCTTCCCCCACTGGGATAATCTTGTGCTAGTTACCATTGTGTTTCCACAGTGCATCCCCTACTCAGTGCTGCTGGAGCAGTTGCAGCTGAAGAATGTCCGGCAGCTGGAGGACCTGGTGATCGAGGCTGTGTATGCAGATGTGCTTCGGGGGAGCTTGGATCAACGGAACCAGCGCCTGGAGGTGGATTACAGCATTGGGAGGGACATCCGGAGGGAGGAGCTTAGCACCATCACCCGCACATTGCAGGAGTGGTGAGGAGGAAACCCCCAACCCAAAAAAAGGTTGCAGGAGTGGCCAGTGGCTTCCCTGGATCCTTTGTTGCTAAGGGTGGGTGGTGTTGGGAGGTGACCTACTTGATACCCTTTCCCATACTCCAATGGAAAGTAATTTTCCAAAAATAACTTCCCAAATTCCCCTGTTGTGTCTAGAGGGGTGATGGGGACGCAGCAGCCTTTGCACAGCGCTGGCCACTGGAAGGAGGCTTTCTGAGTGTTTATCTGTAGTTCTTAACCCAGCATGGCTTTGTTACTTGTCCCCCTCCCAGATAATAACATAATTCCCTGCGTTATGACATCAGATTCCTGTGCCTGTATCTTCCCTACCTGGCATAGCTGCCACCCCCCAGTGTTTTTGGAGTTGAAATCTGCTGTCTTTCACGTTTCCCTCTATGCTGTGCCAATTCCCTGGCCTGTTCAGTTGTGGGTCTCCTCTCCAGGTGCCAGGGCTGCGAGGTTGTGCTGTCAGGCATCGAAGAGCAGGTCAGCCGGGCCAACCAGCACAAAGAGCAACAGCTGGCCCTGAAGCAGCAGATCGAGAGCGAGGTGAGTGGGTGCAGCAGGGAGCAGCCAAAGCCCCTCACCTTAAAACAACTAGAGCCAGTGCTTGTTAGAGGCTTTGCTGAAGTGAGGCATTGCCTTTTCTCTAGGCCAGACCCCCTAGGGACTTGTGCCTGAAGAAGAGTCTTAAATCAGCTTAATACTCTTCTGCGGTGCAGGGGCCTGGACAGATGTTGGCTTTTTTATTTGCAGCTGTTAGCTCCAGGGCTTCCTTTAGAAACAAATAAAAAAAAAAAAACCCAAAAGTGCAAATAAAAAAACCCGTAGCCAAAAAGTCCCCAGCTTTGGGAAAGCCATTAGTTCTCACTTTGCCACTATTGCAGGTGGCAAACCTGAAGAAGACCATTAAAGTGACAACAGCAGCCGCTGCAGCAGCCACATCCCAAGACCCAGAGCAGCACCTCACGGAGCTCAGGGAGCCAGCCCCTGGCACCAACCAGCGCCAGGCGAGCAAGAAAACCTCCAAAGCCAAAGGGTGAGCACTGTGGGCAGACAGAGCGTGTGTGTGGGGGAACATCAGTGCACTTCTCTCTGTGCACTTAGGATGGAAAGAAAATATGAACCTGAGTGTCTACTTTGAACTTTTATTTTCCTTTTTTTTCCCTGTGCCCGCAGGCTCCGGGGCAGCACGAAGATTTGGTCTAAATCAAACTAGTTGGATCTCCCTTCACAACTGGGAGGGTGAGAGGAAGAGATTTGGGGGATGGAGGGGTAGCAGAGTCCCAGGCGTGATGCTTCTGAGCTCTTCTCCGAGATCCATCTTGCCAACTAACTCTCCTGCATGTTTGTTCTCTTTTCTTTCTTTACCGACCTTCCAGGCAGTGTCTCCCTCCTTTTCATCACACTCTGAGCATTTCACACTCTGAGCTTGAGGTTGTACGCGTTGCTGTTTCCCCAGCCACTCGAGCCCCCGTCGCCACGGCCACGTGTTTCTCTCTTTCTCTCTCCCTGTCTTTTGACAGGTCAATTTCAGGAGCCGTAAAGGTGTGACAGTCACCTTGGCACCCCCAGGGCATCACAACAGCTTGGAAGGAGGGTGCTGGTGCGCAGCAGTTGTTTTGGCTCTGTGAGACCCCCTGGTGTACTTTGCTCTAGGACACCATCTTTGATTGTTTAATCTTTGTTTTGCTAGGTGGGAGGGTAGTTTTTGAAGGGATTCTTTTAAAAAAATATATAAATATATTATAAATATATATAAAACAATAAAAATATAGATCTATGGACATATCTGTACAAACCTGTGCTCCTGTGGGTGTGGCATCTCTTTGCCTTGTACACCAACTCTGGAGGTTCTAAAATAAGCTGTGATGTTAAGAGCCTTTGTCCCATTTTGGGGTGAATATCCTCAAAATACGAGGTTCCCTTTTCAAAGGTAGGGCCACAGTATCTCTATTGGGATGAGACTCCATAAAATAGAAATTAATCATAAATCTTATTTAAAGTGTTTCTTGTGTGGTTGATTTTCTTCTGTCCTCTTCAGAAGGTGATTTTCAGGTAGTCTCAGAGGAAGGTACGGAGACTGAGGAAAAAGTCCTTATTTGTGTCAGTACTGTGTGTCTTGTGATCCTGGACAGAATGGAAAGTGATGTGGGGACTTGCCTGACAGGTGAAGGTAACAGAGTCAATGCCCACATGTGTGAGTTCTCACAGGATAGATGCTGCACAAGCTGTTCTCGGGTGGTGGTGATGTCTGGTTGGGAAAAAAAAATCCAAATCAGTGAAAGTGACTCCTGTGAGATGCCCAGGAAAAAAACTAACTTGGATTCTTCAAAGGATGCCTCCTCGAGGCTGGCTTGGAGCCGAGTCAGACGGGTGTCAGTGTCACACTGCCTCTCCACAACATGTAGCTGATGTAAATGTAAATTGACACCATGACTCCCACCCCCGCTTGGTTCTGCGTCTTGTGCCAAGACTAAAATTTGATTCCCTGAACCTGTGCTTCTGTGTGTGAGCAAACCACGAAAAAAAATAATCCAGTGAAGGAAAGCTGGGAGCTTTGTCTCTATCGGGCCTTGTTGGGTTCACTGGCTGGGGTGGGATTTCTCCTGGGTCAGCTCCCTGTGCAGACAGGTGAGAGTTGGAGCTGAGGCAAGGTAGGTGTGAGCAAGTCTTGTGAAGGGGAGGGGGCCGAGTCTGTGCCTGTTCTGGTGGTAGCAAGGTGCCATCTCAGATTTCAAACCCCTCAAAATGCAGGTTTAATGCAATATTGCTGCTTTGCTAATTCCAAGCTGCTGTAATACTGCAGTGACTGTCTGTGGGAAAGCCCTGTCAGCCGAACCCATGAACTCCTAAAACTTCCCAGCAGCTGTGTTTGTTCCTCTGTGTGTGGTCACAGGGCTGGGCACACCAGCTGGCTCTGCTGGGGACAGGGATATGCCAGCTCTCCTGGGGTGATGACTCTCACTGGCTGGGGTCTCCCAAGAGCTCAGGCAGCCCCAAACCTTCCCCCTTCTGTTGCACGAGGCATTGAGCACCTTGGCTGTAGTTTCCTGGCACAGAATTGCCAGTAGGAGAGTTTTGGTATGAAGTTGTCCAGATGGGAGACACAAATCTGGCTGCTGGAGCACATGAGGGGATAGCTGGGCCAGGATTGTGTACACCCACCTAGAGAGATTTGACAAATTTAGGAGTCTCCCTGATGAATCCTGTTCTTCAGAAGTTGTTGGGAGGGATTGTGATTTTGTTTAAATCACCTGAGCCTTCTTCCTTCTGCATCACATCACCTTCATCTGTCTCTGTCAGGGAGCAGAGCATTGCGCTCGCTGCGGTTGTCTGCAGAAACAATAGCGTCCCTGTGCATCAGATCTTGTGCTCCTGGGAAGGGCTAGTCTGGAGCTGAGGTGCCAGCAGGGCAGGAGATAGCTGTCAAGCACCTGCCAGATGTCTGGCACCTCACACCCTTTGAAAGATTTGCTGCTTGCAAAGCCGATGGGGTGTGATGAGAAAGACTGAGGAGAATGGGCCTGGGATGGAGCTGAGCAGCCGGACACAGCACGTGTCCTAACAGCCACTGGCTGACGTCCAGCGGGAGCTGGGCTGGAGCAGTGTCACCTCCAGGGAGAGCTGAACTTACCAGTACTGGAGGAGGATATTTGTGTCCCACAAGAACCTGCTGCTTGGGAATTGCAGCTATAACAGCTCTTTGCCCTGAGTGTCTCATCTCTGGTTCTCTGGTCTGTTGGGCCTTGCTATCTTTAGCCAAACTGTGGCTATTAGACACAAAGGGTCTGTTTCCATGCCATGAATCCACAGTTTAAATCCAGGCTGTAGATCCCAGGAGTGGAGTTGGAAGCCAGCACTGAGAGTTGCAGGCTGGTTGTGTGTGACAGCGCTCGTGTGACGCCCTGTGCAGCAATGGCTGGGCCGAGCAGTGCCTGAGCTCCATGCCACGTGCTGCCATCAGCCTTGGGAGCACAAAGTCCCCACATGGGTGACAGCAGCCAGCGTGCGGACCAGCGTGGGTCTGGCAGGGCTCACCACTCCAGCCCCAGGCTGTGCTGAAGCCCCAGACTGGGATCACTTTGTGACATGACAGCCAGCCCCCCGCCGTGTCCCAGGGTCAGCTCAACCCTCTGGGAGCAGCCTTTGCCATAGACCAGCTTTGCTCCCCCTCCCCATTTGCCTGTGTTCCCCTCTTAAGGCTGGCTGTGTTATGGATTTTAGGAGAAATTGGGATTAAGCACAGCTCTGAAAGTCTTCCATTTTGTTTACTTTTCAAAGGGAGCACCTTTTAAGACCTCCATTAAGAAAAGGAAAGCTGGAAGTAGCACATAAAATTACTTCAGACCTTTGGTAGGACTGAAAAATAAATGAGAGGGTTGCAGTGCAGAATGAAAGTACTGCTGCAAATTGCCTTGGTGGATGGCAAACAGAGGGCAGGAGCATAGGTTTGCCTTTGCCCTTCACCTGAAAACCAGTTTTTATTTTTCTACTCGCCTCAGCCGTGACTCTGAATTTCAGTTGGAGAAGATGTGAAGATTAATTAATTAGTTAACATTTATAAATCACTTTGAAGATTGCAAGAGTGAGGTAAGTACTGAGTATTATTATAAGTTTTCATTTTTAAATGTCTTTATGTTTTAACCCATTTTTTTCCAAAGAAAAGACCAAGAAAACAGACCCTGAGTAGAGGAGAACAAAAATACCTGGACACATTAAGCCCTGTGAAGGTTTAGGGGGCTGTTAGAAGAGGGTACAGAGAAATGTCCATCCCAAAATGAGGAGCAGATCTGCCATCCCCAGCACAGAAAGTCTAATCAAAAGTCTAAACTTGAGCAGTGATTCATTGCAAACCCCTCTCTGGGTACCTACATGGGGCTTTCACGTGGGTTCAGAAAAGGGAGGAGGTAGGAGAGGACCTGGACTGCTCTATCACCAATGTCCAGCTTTTGCCAGCCACCTCCAGCTTCTCTGTGGCAAGAGGTAACGAGGGACTGGGGTTAATGTTGGTAATTATTGCATTCTTGGGACACAATTTCTTCTGGGGAGCTTACTGCTCCTCTTGAAGGTTGTGAAGGTGCTGGGCAGCTGCTGCCAGCAGCTTGGCTTCTGCAGCAGTGCCCATCTGTACCTGGAGGGTGGGGGAAAGTGTCAGCAGAACAGACGCTCTGCAGGACCTCTCTGAGGTGCTCCCCAACCTGCACTGCTCTGTGCTGAGGTACCTCTGGAGTCAGAGAAGGTCTTTGTGTGCTCAAAAGGAGTCAATATTTTATTTACTGGGGTTGCTGAGGCTGCCCTTGCCTCTGTTCTCCAGAGGAGACCTTTGGCAGGGTGGTTTGTTTCCTGAAGAATGATGGGCTGGTACCCATCATTCTCCAGGAAATGTGTACCCAAGTGTACCCAAATGCTGTTACACATTACCAAGCCTCCTTTGCACCAGTGCCACTGGCTGGGGGGCATATCTCTGGACAGCAGGTTTCCTCAGGCCTGCCTGAGGGGAGCAGGGAGGATGGCAGCCCTGCCCAGCAGCAGGACATGTGCCCACCACCTGCATCCTCCTGTGAGCTCCTGATGCCAGCTGAGGAGTGGTGCTGCAGAGGCCGTGGCCGTGCCAGCCAGATTTCATCTGCTGGTCTGCAGGGTGGTCATGCATGTGTGTGGTCCCCCAGAGCTCCATGCTGCGATGCCTTGCCTCTCCTCCACCAGGGCAGTGGCCTCTGAAGGCTCTTTGTGCTGTGGGTGCTTTCAGTCTGGTCTGTTGGGGGAGCTGGCACAGATGATGTGTGTCCCACTCTGCTGCCCGTGGGGCTGTACCTTTGTACAAAGACCCCCCCCAACAGCAGCCCCTGAGGGCTGTGCCTGCTGCTTGCCACAGCTGGATCATCCTTCTGGGATGAAGCCCTGTCTCTGCAGGATTCTGATGCAGAGCAAGGTAGAATAGTCAGAAGAATCTCACAATTCATGTCAGCTGCTGCAAGTGCATCTCTCAGATCTCTGACATCCTTCTTGTCTCCTTTGGATGCCCTGGAATAGCTGCTCATTTTCCTTCTGTGACCCCTTTCCCTTTTTGCCATGCGCTCCATGGGAGTCTGTCTGTGTTCCCACCTGCAGGGCTCTTCTTTCCTCATCCCTTTTCCTAGTACTAGGCACTGCTTAGCTGAAATACTCATATAAAAACCACCTGTTTTCTCTACTGGTTCCACAGGCACCCCATCTTTTGGGTGTTTTTCTCTCATCTTCTGCAGTTTTCCAGGAGCATCCCTCTTGATCCAGTGTGGAACTAGGCTGGACTATTGTCTGCCTCCTCTGCTGGTGGCAGGCTCTTCTCCTGCCAAGGAAAGGAGTTCATTTGCAAAAAAATTCTTTGTGCAGTGTGCAATTATATTCCTGTTGTGATGAATTCAATAGGCAGCAAAATGTCAGCTGGATTCGAGAGCTGTGACCCTGTTACAGTAGCGAGACTGTTCAGAATTCCTGTAGCACTTGTGCACGTGTTAAAAACTGCTCTGCACCCTCCTGTTCTGAGGACAAGTAAAGCCCTAGCCCCTTCAGATCAGGAGAAAATGTTTTTGGGAGGCTTTGCCTGTATCTGCCTCTGAAGCATTTAGCACTGGTTTCAGGATGTGGGAAGATGGATGATCTCTTTGGTGGGAGCAAAAACAAGGAGGCTCCTGGTGACCGAGGGTGATCTCTCGCCACTGTGGTCTCACAATCCCTTGCAAAGGCTTCTCAGGTGCCAACCCCAAACTGGTGAATTTTATTGTCCCCACTAGTCTCCTTGGCAGGCTGCCCCAGAACCCAACTGCTGTAGTGGGTAAAGTTTTTTAATTTCCAGCTTAAATGAATTCACAGCTAGTTGATATTCTCTTGTGCCTGTGCCAGCCTGGCTCTAGCTGAAGCTGTAGTTTCTCCCTGGTGTTTATTTCCCTTGAGTACAGACTTCACTTTGCTTAACTAACCAAATCAGCCCCCTTGTGCACCGGGAGCTCTCCTTACTCTCTTACTTGCTCTTCAAATAGAGTGCAAAAGTGCTCTCTTACCTGCACTTCAAATTAAGCTTTCTTGGCTAGAAATGAGCACAGTTCTCTTCCACAGGTGATTGAGCAGCATCTCTCACAGGCACAGTAACACACACCTATAGCTACCAGAAATGCCTCCTGGATTGCGTGTCTTCTCCTCTGGTGATCCAGAGTATTTATTATTTTCTGATGGTTAGAACCAGAAGAGCTCCAGTTTATAGCTAAAATCTTGATTTTAGGCCCTATGCTCCTTTTCCCTTTCACTTTGTGCTACAAACTTTAAGTCCTTTTGCTGTTACTGACACCTTCGAGGCCACCTACATCCTCCTGTGTGATACCCTCATCCAAGTTGGCAATGTTGCTGGGTTTTATTTATTTACTCAAGCATTTATTCTTTTGCAATCTTTGTTCTCCTTTTCTGTCATGAGAAAGGGATGGAAATTGTGAGGCTACTGTCTAATCTTCCAGCTTACCTCTGGACATTATATCACCAGCAGTTGGAGATAGGTAGTGTCTGTTCTATTTCCCTTCCTTTTATTACCTTTTTCCCCCACGCTAAGTTTGTATTAAGTGCCCTCAGGATTTAAAAAGCCATCCAGATGTGAGGAGATGGTGGAAGTAATAATAACCAAAGTAAAGTTTCCCCATGGAAACAGTTTTTGAAGTGTTCTCTTTAAAAAGGAAAATTCCCAGGAGGGAAAAAAATCCCAGTTACATTTAAGACAGGGCTGAAATATAAAATCAAATCAATTTTTTAGAGTGTTATGTAAAGTAAAAAAATACTGCAAATCAAACAAGTCAGTTTTAAGTTATATACTGGATTAAGGTCTATTTTAAATCCTTTTGTTCTCCAGCACTGGAGCTTGTAGGATTTTACATTCCAGCCCCATGGCAGCGCCTGTTTGTTTCCTGAGCAAACCACTGTACCCGTAGAGAGTCCTGTTTCCTGCAGCTTGTTGTGGTCCCACCTGCTTTGAAGCCCTTGTCAAGTCAAAAGGTCTCTTCTTGCCCTTCCCACCTTTCCCTTCAGTCTAGCCATGTGCCAGTCTGCTTCCCTCTCCTACTCACAGATTTTTGAAACCCAAGGGGACTGGTATAATCACATGGCTTGGCTTCTCAAGTGGCCAAGAACTCCCCTGCCCTGTTCTGTGCCTACTCCCCAAATGCTTTTTGGGACACGCCATGGAGTTTGGAGTAGGGGGAGCTGGGAAACGGAGGTGTGCTCTGCTGCTCCCACACAAGGTCTGCATTCATTCCCAGTTCCATCGTGAGGTCGCTGCAGGTTTTCTGCTGGGCGGAAGAGCCCTCTGGTGTCAGAAGCCACATTCCCATTTAGGTAACACCAGCCTGTGCTCCAGTGGAGCGAATTCAGACACAGGAGTTCAGTTCATGTTAACCTGTAGTGCTGGGCAGCGTTTCCAGGCTCCAAGGCATCCTTGTTTCACCCTTCTTGAGTCTTCTTTAGTTTCCTTTTTAATGTCCAATACCCAGATTTCCCACAACTGGTTCTCTACTCTGATACACCAAATTGATCAGAGGGATGGAGCACCTCTCCTACAAAGAAAGGCTGGGAAAATTAAAGAGAATTTGGATAGTTTAGTCTGGAGAAGATTTTGGGGTGACCTAATTGCAGCCTTCCAGTACCTGAAGGGAGCCTACAAGAAGATGGAGAAAGACTATTTACAAGAGCATGTAGTGACAGGAGAAGGGGGATGGCTTCAAACTGAAAGAGAGCATGTTTATGCTGGGTATTAGGATGAAATCCTTTACTGTGATGATGGTGAGGCACTGGTACAGGTTGCCCAGGGAAACTGTGGGTGCTCCATCCCTGGCAGTGTTCAGGGCCAGGTTGGATGGAGCTCTGAGCAACCTGGTCTAGAGGAAGGTGTCCCTGCCAATGCAGGGGGGGCTGGAACTGGATGATCTTTAAGGTCTCCCCAACCCAAACCATTCTGTGATTCTTCAAAGGGGAGAATTTTTACCTCTGTTCTTGGTGAACACAGGCTAATGCATCCCAGTGTAACCCATTTGCACAGAGGAAGAATGATGAAAGTACCATTCCTTTCCTTGGTTGTCTTCCAATCCCAATCCCTTTTGGAGTTCTCCATTTTGAAAGAGCACAGACTATGTTTATGTCCCTGGGTGAATGTCTTTTCTGCATTCAGTGCAGCCAAAAATACCTACTGTTTATAAATAAACACACCAATAGTTACTGACTGTTCCGTACATCTCATCTTTTTCCAAAATTTATTACTTTCATTGTTCTTTGGATCCTCTGAAAGCTTCATCAGCACTGGTTTAATACCTTCTTTCAGATCATTAATCAAGTTACTAATGAGCATTAGTTTCAGAACAACATCCTACTGGAAATAATTTCATATTCTCCGGTCTCTTTTCCCCTTCATTACTTGAAATCTATCAGTGAAGTAAAATTTATAATATTGGCCTTTTTGTTGTTTTAATAATTACTAAGTTATTTTACTTCAGAAAATAGTCTTGTGTGGCCAGATAAAATACATCGTGCTGTTGCAACCTTTGACTCTGGGTTGCTGTAGTGCCTTTGGTAACCCAACCCATAATTTAATCAGAAATTATCACAGTTGTTGGACAGGAACAATTTTGAGAAGTGAGATCACACATTATAAACACTGAGACATAAATGCTTGTTTTTAAATTCAATACATTTTGCATCTCTTATCTTGATTTAATGTCAGTTTGCCTGGTTTACAGGTGTGGATATCATCTAATTTTTTATTTACAAGTATTGACACCAGGTTAACTTTCCCAGTCTTCTTTTTCCCCAGTACTCTACAATTCCCTCAGTATTTTACAATACTTCAAAAAGTACAGTAAAAGATGCACAGACCTTCAGGGCTACCCACAAAAGCATGTAAGGACAAAGTTCCTACTAGCCCTAATGGGTTTTATTTTCAGGATATGTTTTCAATTATAGAAAACTGAATACACAACAAACAAAACCACCTAAGTTTCTGGTTTATTTGCATGTAGCTAGTGCATTCTCCTCCAAGATTATACTATCCATCTTCCTACTAGTGTTTCCAGCTTCTTTTCACCTCATTCTATGCACCTTCTGTCTTCCCTCTGTCTCATTAAAGCATGTCAGGCCCCTCTGTCTCACTTCAGGTGTCCTACTTGCTCCTTAGGAAAATCCAGTAGTACCACTGAACTGCCCTGATGTGGTGCTTCAATTCGTCCAATTTGAAGGTGACAGCTATGGGAGAAGGAGCAAGAAGGGATTTTGTCTCCCTTGGATGGAAAAGGATGACTTGGAACCACATCCTGCCATCTGAAATAAATACTGTTTGATTTTCATGTTGAGAACATCCGGCCTCCTCTTCCTCCATCTTTCTGGCACAGCTGTCAGAAACATTTCAGAAATGGAAGAATCTCATCCCAACCTTTCCCGTGCCCTGATACAGGAGGTAGATTGCTTTTAAGGGCAAACCATTTCACTTGAAACTGTAACTCATAGGAAAAAATTAACCCCAGGAAGGTTTGGAAAAATCCCTCCTGCTTTCTGAAGCCAGAAGTGCATGTACCATGTCAGCCTGGGACAGGCAAAGGGCTTGCTCTCTCTATATACTTCCCCTGCTTCCTGGTTTGGGATCTCTAAAACTCTCCCCTGAGCTCCTGCCTTAACACAAAGTTCTCCTCTCACTGAAGTTCTTTCCCATATTCCTAGACCAGCAGTGCCTTGCTGCCCCTGGAGAAGGCTGAGACCTTGGGAATGACTGTGCAGCAGTCAGCAAGGCTCAGGAGCCAGGTAAATCCCCTCCCACTGCCGAGTGCAAGAGCACGCAAGGGTCCTACCTAAATCAGTAATCAGGACAGCACCCAACAGGGAGCAAAGGCTGAATCCAGATAAAAGGATTTGGGATTAGATCAAGATTAGGAAATCCATGCCCAAAGAGGAATGGATCCTCATGATCAAAGGTCAGTGTTAATCCCCACCACCATCACGGCCGTCTTCCGGTTTGTTGTAGACAGGTAGAAGAATTAGAAAAGAAAGGCCTCATAAAATCAGGCCAGCTCTGTTAAATTAATAGCTAGCCTGTCATTTCTTCTAAGTGCAGCTAAGTAATTTGCAAGTTCCCATGTGAAAACAATCTTGGTATGAGAGCTCGTTAACACAACTTATTCTTGAGTGAAAAACAACTAGCACCTGCATAAACAATAAGATCTGCCTCATGAGACTCAGTAGAAAAAATATATAAACTAACTATAAATACAAAAGTTTGATAGACATGCAAAATACTATGTACTGATCAATGAACTAAGTGTGAATGTATTGTCCACCAGTAAGATCTGACACATGCCTTCTGATAATCCTATAAAATATGACCTATACAATAAAATTTGGCTTTTCTGCGTGAAGAAACAGAGTCCTGTCTGCTTATTAATGCAGCACCTGTTCTCGATCTCAGACATCACCTCAAAACCTGGCTAGGACCTGGCAGCTGGTTACTGCCACCATCTCCATGCTGCGAGCACCTTTCTGAGCACAGCTGGTTTTTCACTGGATCAGAGCACCAGGTGCCACATCTTGCACTGGCTCAAGACTGCCAGAGATATGAGGGCTGCTGTTGTTGCAGTCCCTTCTTTCACACTCTGGTAACCCTAGGACTTCCACGAAACCTCTCCCAAGCCCTGCTTTTTTCTGTGTAACTACTTCAGCCTTGCTCTCTTCAGGGCTTGCCTTGGCTGTGACACCTCCAGAAAGTCACTCCACTGCCAGGGACAGCAGGCTGCTGTCTTTGAAGTCCTTTCCAAACCAAACTATTCCATGACTCCTACTGGGATTTGCCGTGGGACGAAATGGCACGGGGAAGTGGGGACAGAGCTTGCCATCAGCCACGGCCCTGTTATGCACTTCCTTGAAGGGTGGAACACATGCAAACTCTGCCCTGAGCTTCCAGAGGGTGGATGCTGCATCCTTTTCTCAGGGCAGGACAGTGAGTCCCCAGCAAGGTGTGTCTCTGTTAGTGCCCACACGTACAACAGAGGGATACACCACAAGATCCAAGCATACCACTTCCAAGTGTAAATCATGAACTGATTTTCTGCCTTCTGCTCCAAATAAACTGATGAAAAGGTTTGTGTAAGAGTGTCTCCAGAGCATGAGACTGGCCAAAAACCCAAGAGATCTTCCCTGCTCCTATATTCCTAATGCCTCTCAATTTTCACCTAATAATGAAGAAATTAAGGAAAGGTCATTCATAATGTCAGCCACAGTTGCAATGATATAATAAGAAAATAATGGAAATATTCCCTGTCTGTGCAGAAGCCCCAGAGGTCCAATTCATGGCTGCACAGCTGACCAGGCAGCAAGAAAGACCAACCAATTTCCCTCGAGTGCACAGCAAAACTACAGCAATTAGAGGGCATTTTTTGCAAATGGTGAGTTCTTGGGTCTTCTTTCACAATCTCCGTGTTGAGCATCATCTCACTCTGTGACTACATGGGAAGGCTATTAGGCTATTTACTAGAAGAAAACAAAGCCTGAGAATTTCACACCAAGTTTCTCCTCAGCAATTTTCCAAGGATGAGAAAGAGGTTACTTAATTCCACAGCAGGCACAATTACGTCAGCTGAAGGTAAAGACTGATCCACCAATTCTTTACAGTTTATTTCTTTATTCAGTAAACATCTAGTTACAAGTTTCACAAATTAAAAAAGTGGGGGAGCTGATTGAAGAGGGGTCAGGGGGCCCACAGGCTGATCCAGCTTTTGTTCTGCTCCTCCCTTCTCCAATGCACACATCCTTCTGCTTCTCCACAGATGCTCCAAGGAGCAGCAGGGGAATGGAAGCCTCTGTCCCGGTGAGGGGACTGACAGGGGGTTCTAGCAGAATTCCCTCATATTCCTTTCACAGGGGACTAAACACAAACTTCAGAACCAGCCCAACCCAGCACAGAAAGAGTGGAAAGGATGGAAGAGGCAAGGTGGCAGCTCCTCATGCCCAGCACTACTGGCAGAAAGAACAGAGCCAAGGGACAGCAGAGAGGGAATGGGCAATTAATGTGTTCCTTGCACATCAGTGAGATTCCCCACGCCCCACTGCAGCACCCAAATGGGGTGAAATAGAGCAATGCAAAAGATTAGTTGCTTTGTTTCAATTCTTAAGTGGGAGGAAGGTTAATACTAAATTTGAGGAGGGTCCAAGTGGTGCTTTGAAGGGGCTTCAGAGTTTCACTGTCTGTACCTGGGAGGAAAGGAAACAGAAGACATAAACAGAATAAGTGGTGCCTAGAAAGCAGAAGACAGATAAAGATGTGTTTAAACCTGATGTCTAGACATCAAAAAAGGGGGAAATGTCCCTTTTCAAGCACTAGATCACATCCTAGTGAGCCCTGTCCAAAGGACAGGAGAGCAGACACCAGTACTTACTTATATTTCAAACTGTATGGACAGCAAACGGTCTCTATGTTTTACACAATGACAATATAAACACTCCACAGATTGCAATCCTACATCACGTCATAGTATTTCAGCCATCAGTTAAGGCTGACACCACAGGTCTTTTGTGACAAAGCTAACTTAAACAGCTTTCATCCTCCCATTCAGCACAGCATCTTCTCAAAATTCACACCTTCCCCTGCTCTCTCAAAGTGGGAAGACACCTTTGCAACCAAAACTTCAAAACAAGGTAAGGTTGAGTGCAAAGAAAAAAAATAACCCCGTGGCTAAGAGGCCACCGCGCAGCAGAAGACAAGGAAGGAACTTGTTAAGACTTACAAGAGCGTGTAGGTAGATTTGGGGGTGGCCCGCTGCACCCCCCACAAGGTCTGCTCCGAGTTCACCAGTCGTACCGGCGGGACTGTCTGGAGGGAGAATCCTCAGGGCCCTGGATGGCGAGCCGAGTCCCTTCGGCCCGCCGGCCGCCGCTGCCTTCGTGGCGCCGGTATTCCAGGCCCCGCTGCGGCCGGAACCGCGACGTCTCTCGCCGCCACTCGTCGTCAAACGCGGCTGCGTCACCTGCGCAGCGACACAACCGGCTCAGGCGGGGAAGCAGCACCTGGCTCTGCTGGGAGGAGGACACGGGCACTACTCACTCTCGTCCATGTTGATGTAGTCCTGCCTCTCCTCCTGGTCACCTGTGCGATGGTTCCGGGACCGCTGCATGATGTGGGCCCTGTCCCTGATGTGGTGTCCAATCGACATCTGTTCCAAGCCGCTGTCCGAGTCCCTGACGGTTCGTCTTGTCTCACGGATCTGGGGGAAGATTCCCACGTGGAAACAACATTTTCATTCCTTCTCCCAGCCCCCTAAGGCACCCTGATTCCTGCCTCCAGTATTTCAGGCAATTGGCACTGCCACTACTCCCAGGATGTCAGACACAACATTACGAAGAGGGAAGAATGGGTTCCCCACTGCCAGCTCTTCCCGTTTCCTCCCAGGGGCCCTTGGCACGGTTCAGTGAGTCACAAGAGCACAATGTGCTCCTCGAACCGCAGCTGACTGCAAAGCCAAAGTGCTGTAGGTGGCCACCCACAAAGCCACCAAACGAAGCCCACCCTCCCACAGCAAAGCCAGTAGCCTCCTCCTTACCCCGCCAGGTGCTGAACGCATCTCTGAGGTCTCCTGATAGACTTTGGGCCCATCACCCATGTTGGAATAAGAGATGACAGTTGAGGAGGTAAATGTCTGGCAGTTAGCACCACTTGTCATATGCTCCTGCAAGAAGGAATGGGGAATGGTGTAAAGAAAGGACGGGAGGGAAGAAGAGATAGCATTTAATTCCCTCTATACAATGAAGTAAGAAGTTACAATAGGATGAATATAATCCCCATGGGGCCATTTTTCTGGAGAATACACCTTCCTGTTAAATTAATACTTATTTCTTGCTAAACATGTCCACCCACACGCTTCCTTCCTCACCCCTCTCCTCTCCCTGCACTCAGGAACAAGCCCTGTCACTGACTCCCAGCGATGAAGCAAAGCTTACAGCCTCTGCCACCTTGGCAGGTGTGGCTCAGTCCATCCCAAGCAGCACAATAAGGTAAGAGACATTAGAGAGATGGCAGAAGCTCAGGACTCCCCTCAATATAAAACGGTTCGTGGAGGGTTCTTACCATGTTTCCAATCATGTCGTTCATCATCCCAAACATATCTATAAAGCCACCTGCCTAATAAAAAGGAAAAGAGAACACAAGACTAGTCAGTCTGGGAAGAGACATGAGGAAAGAACAACAAACTATCTGCAAAAAAACCTGCTGCCTAAGAAGAACCTTACTTTTTTTTTTTTTTTCCACGTTCTTTCAGTAGTGCAGAAAAAAAAAAGCCAACAGAATTTGGGGTTGCTGTTCTCTCCATTCTCTCAGGCTGCATTGCCCAATGTTCTGGCAAAGGTTGTTATTTTAGTTTATATCCAATTGCCGATGCACTGGGGTTTGTGAGCTTGGGGACTCAGCACAGTTAGGAGAATAATTCTCAGCATGTGCACTAACAGTGACCTTAAGAAAGTTTCCACTGATTGTTTTCTTTCTAGCATAACAACAAATTTGCTTGTTTTCCCCTACAAACACCTGCCTTTTCCACTCTTCAAACCTGAATGCTGCAGTAACACCCTGGGCCAGCAAGTCTCACAGGTTAATTGTGCAATATGTAAACAAAATTACAATGTCAGTTCAAACTTGCTGATTTCTTTTTTTTTTTTGTTTCCTCGAGTAGCCTCTTGTTCTGTTTCCAGCAGAGCAGTACTCACACACAATGTTATTCTGCTTTGAAGTCTATGTGTTTGTAGTCTTATTAATCCTCCTCTGAGCTACAAAAATTCCAGGACGCTGGAGTCTCTTTCATTGAGGCAATTCTGCAGAGCAAGGCAGCTGAAGTTGCTGGATCTGGAATAACCTATTTCCACTGTATTATTTCGGTGGAAGACAGAGATCAGCACACTCTGAGCATGGTGTTTTCACGTACACACAGCCATTCTCGTTCCAGCCCTGTTTACCTGAAGAATTCTGCTGGCTTCTCCAGCTGCCACCACTGGCAAAGGAGGTGCAATAATCCCCTCTGCCTACTGATGGCCAAGTCCTTTCCTCCCATCCTCACAGCTCCTCCATTACCTCCAGTTCTGCAGCTGCTTTTCAGACATATGAGGTTATTAAGGGACTACCTGCTCTTCCCAGATATTAACTGTCCCAATTCCCATGAAATATTGTGCTATAACAGCTTTATGACTTTTCTCTGGTCAAGGTGCAAATACAACTTCCCCATATACACAGAGTTAGACTCTCTCTTCAAAAACAGCTCACGGACAGGATTAAAACATTAGAGGGGAAACAAGGTAAGGGCCTGAAGTCATAAAACAACTCAATGAGAGGTTCAGGAGAAACCAGATGCTTCCAGTTTCAGTTCAATACCTTCTTCCTTAT